TTTTCTTTTTCTTTTTCTTTTTCTTTTTATCTTATCTGATGAAATAGGATTGGTAGTTTAGATATCTTAAAAGGAATGAATTGAGGAAGTTTCTATAATTTTAAACAAAGATAATGCCACCTGGCAAATAGAGATAAGAGAAGAGAAAGCAAAAACCTTATTAGAAACTTTATAATTTAATGATTGATTAGATTTGTACAAATAGATGTTTGGAAAAAAAAGGGATTAATTAGTACAAATAGAATACAAGTATAAAAGGGGCTCAAACAAAGTATTAATTAATTTTATAAATTAATGATTTATTAGATTAGTACAAATAGAATACAAGTATAAAATGTTAAAAAAAAAGTAATAAAAAAAGAATACAAGTATAAAATGGGCTCAAACAAAATATTAAATGATGCCAACTAGGGGTGTTCGCAATACTTTCCTAACCGCAAAATTGCGGTTTGTATTTTTTTTCAAACCGCACTTATAACCAAATCGCACCAAATCGTGCCGCAAAATGTGGTTTGGTGCGGTGCAGTTTGCAATTTAGTCACATTTAAAAATATAAATATGTATTTCTTTTGAAAAAAGTTTTTTATTTTATTTTGTGATTATTACTTTATAATTTAAATATTTAACTCTTTTTAACTTTTAATTAGCTAATAGTAAAAAATTACATCATAATTTAAGCTATTTTATATATTTTTTTTACTAAAAATAGTATAAATTAGTATAGCAGTTTGACGGTCTATTCTGCAAACCACATCAAAGTGCAGTTTGCGGTGCGGTTTGGTATATAATGTTTTGGAAACCACACCAAACCGCAAATGTGCAATTTGGTCCTTTTCGGAAATCGCACCACAATTTTCAAACCGCAAATCACACCAAAATTTTGTAATTTGGTGCGGTACGGTCTAGACCGCACTCTGAACAGCTCTAAGCCAACAATTGAATTTTTAGGTTTACTTATAAATACACTATAAAGAAAAAAAAGTCCGAGATATTGGGATCGATTCTCACCCCCGCCCTTGTGGCTCACTAAACACCAAAAAAAAAAAAAAAAAAAAAAAAAAAAAAAAAAAAAAAAAAAAAAGCTACAAAGGAAAAAAAGTCCTAATATAGACATGACTTAGCTAGTACTAATACTAAATTATTTATATGCATTGCTGCCATACTTAGACGTATGACAATTAGTTGAAGTGTTAGAACCATGCAATATTGAGTTCCCTAAATTTCTCACTCTTGTATTGTTTAGTCCAAATGTGATGTTTTGCCCTCTTATTTTTTTCTACCATTCTGTCTTTACTTCTGTGTACATTGACATTTTAAGGCCATTAATTTTTTTTTATCATTCTTATATCCTTATTCAATTTAAATTCTCTTCTCTTATGTGGTTCCTAGTTTCTTTTAGTTATTTAAACTACACTTATACCCTTGATATAATCATCTGAGACCAAAGTTAATACTGCTACATACAAAATGTCTCACACTAAGCTAAGAAGTCATCACAATGATGCTAATTATTTTTACGACTAAGAAGGCATGTGAATTATTGCAAAACGATATGATTTAGCTTTGAGTATTGTTGTGCCAAAATTTTTCATCCCAAGATTCTTATGTTCTACAGGTAGTCAGGTTACAGGTTACAGGTTAACGGAGTACAGGTTGAAGGCAGCTATGAAGCTAACACCCGAAAACCAAGCAGGCTGAGCATATTCTCAAGGAATATTCCCAGGAATCTTCGAGTAGAGTGGGATATAAATCCTATTCGAGGAAATAGGAGCTACTCCCGGCATCTTGGCCGTTGAGGGAGACTAATTCAAACTTGATGGCATTTGACCTGGAAACGTGGAGAAAGAATAGGAACAACTTTGGCCCTCAACTCCAGATTCCTAAGGATTGAGGGGAAGAGCCGTTGAAGGTCTTTTGAATGCTTTCCTAGTATATAAGAGTAGGCATGATCATTGTAAGGGTCATCACAAAAAATATAAGAGCCTTACTACTAAGCACAATCATAGAAATATCACATTATTATCGCTCAATTAATAATTTGTAGCCTACACTGTAACCTGTTCAATCTAAACACTTAGTGGATTGGTGGATTCATAGCCACCCGCAGTTTTTACCCTTGTTCTTGGGGTTTTCTGCGTCATCATCTCTCGAGTCTTCTCCCCCTTTTCCCTTTTACCCTTTCGTAGATCTCAATTCAGTAATTTCCATCATTATAATCTAGTTGTAGCTATTATAACCCAGGTCGAACCTGGTAATCAGTTTTTTTGACCAAAACAGTTTGGCGCCGTCTGTGGGGATATAGTTAGATAATTCGGTTTATCCTTCATCATGGGAGAAGATCTTGATCCAAATGCAAATGCATTAATCGAGCAATTGCGAGAAGAGCTGAAAGCCTCCATAGAGCGAAGCCAGAAGCTTGAAGAAGAGTCTCAAGCAACCTTAGCGAGGCTCAAAGCTGAATCTGAAGCATCCCTGGAGAAGCTGTCCAAGGAACTCGAATCTGTCAGGAGCAATAAGAAGAAGAGGGTGAAAATCTATGACATACCCCAATTCACCCTGGTATCCTCCGGTGAATCTGAAGGTGAAGATGAGAGAGAAGGATCTCGTGGTAATGAGGAACAATTGGTAGGGATCCCAACCCTATGGCCAGGGAACTTCCCGTTATTAAAGCCCGAAACCGAAAAATGATGAAACTCCTGACCCGCCTACTAGGTGCTCCTAAACTTGTGGCTTATGAATCTCGCGATGGATTAACTGAATCCCCCTTCGTGGAGGAGATTGCTAAAGTGTGTATTCCCACAAAGCTGAGCATCCCCCCTTCCCAAAGATGTACGATGGAACCACTGATCCTAAAGATCATGTGGCCCAGTACAAGCAAAAGATGTGGCAGTTATCAATCCCGTGGGAACTAATTGAACCCACCATGTGCAAGTCCTTTAGCGCTACTTTATCAGGACCTGCACTCCAATGGCTTATTAATCTAAAGCCAGGTACCATCGCCAGCTTCCCCAGCTTGGTGAACAAATTCTACCAGCAATTCTCTACCATCCGAGAGCTGGATAAGCAAAGTAGTGACCTGTATCGAATCGTTCAGAAGCAGAACGAGACAACCCGACAATAATGGGACAAGTTCAATCGAGAAATGGTCAGCATAAAGAACTGTGACCACTCAACTGCTATTGAAGCTTTTCGCAAAGGTCTCAATTACAGATCCAGATTATATTATGAGTTAACAAGATATCCTTGCTCCTCGTTTGAAGAAGTAAGAACCAGAGCAATGGCTGAAGTCCGTGTAGAAGAGGATGAGCATGCTAGAAACTGGGTTGAAAGGAGACCATCAGGGTATTCGGGGAACCAGTCCTTCAGCAATCAAAACTCTGGAACCCGGCAAGGTAGCTGGCAGCCAAGGCACAACAATGTCAACAACATATCCGAGCCAAGAGCAGGTGAAAGCTCTAGCTGGCCAGTAATAGAATGCCACCCATATATCAGCTCATATGGTTTCAATACTGATATAGTGGGAGTGGTGATCGCTCTCAAAGATATTGGGCAACCGGTGAGGTGGCCTAGGAAGAGCGACAAGCCTGAGCACTAGAAAGATAAATCAAGATGGTGCGAGTACCATGGAGATCATGGGCATAAGACTGACGAGTGTAACAGTCTTAAAAGAGAAGTAGCCTGGCTTCTCAAGAAGGGCTATCTAAAAGACCTCCTCGGAAAGAAAGGAAAAGGACCTGAAATCAAGCGGGAAGCCTTGTCAGGTCCACCAGCTTCACCCACCCCAGGTGTTGTGATTCAAGCAATATCAGGAGGATCTAGCATCAGCGGTCTAACCTACTCCAATGCAAAGCGTATAGTAAAAGTTGGCACCTCAGCATCCAGCATCCCCCAAACTTATCCGAGCAGTGAAGAAAAGAAGCTGGACGATATGGAAGTTGTGTTCGATGAGAGTAGGTTCAATGAGCCCGAGCATCATGATTGCTTGGTAATCTCCCTCCATGTGGGTCACTGCAAGATGACGAGAGTATTGGTAGATAATGGGAGTTCGGCCAACATAATCTTCAAAGACGCCCTAGATCAAGCCGGCTTCAAAGAGTCAGATATCACCAAGAGGTCCACCGTTCTGGTTGGGTTCAATGGCAAACCTATGAATTCCCTGGGAGAAATCCAGTTGCCAACGCTGCTCAAAGGAATCAACATGATGTACAAGTTCTACGTGATAAATTGCAAAACTGCTTATAATGTGATAGTGGGAACCCGTTGGATCCACAAAATGAAAGCCATCCCATCTACCTATCACCGGCTACTCAAGTTTCCAAGCCCGTGGGGAATAGCAATAGTCGAAGGAGACAGAAAGCAAGCGCGAGAATGCTACCAGCTCGCCCTGAAACCTCATGGCCCCGCCATCTAGCAATCACAGAAAAGTGCAGCACCCAAGCGTCCAGATGAGTTACAATTAGATGAAGTCGTGCTGGATGAGTCAAAGCCAGAGAAAAAGGTTAAAATCAGAGCTGCATTGGCGGCAGAACAGAAAGAAGCTATCATCAAGTGCCTCAGAGAAAATTCAGATTGCTTCACATGGTTAGACCAAGATATGACGGGAATCAGTCTCGAAATCATCACCCATAAGCTGAACGTGGATCCCAGCGTAAGGCCGGTAAAGAAAAAAAGGAGGAAATTCGCCCCAGAACATAATCAAATCATCAATGAAGAAGTTCAGAAGCTGCTAGATACCGGGAAGATAAGGGAAGTTAAATATCCAGATTGGCTAGCTAACGTGGTTGTCGTCAGTAAGAAGAATGGAACCTGGAGAGTCTGCATCGACTTCACAGACCTGAATAAAGCGTGCCCCAAAGACCCGTTCCCGCTCCCTCATATAGATTCCATGGTAGATGCAACAGCTGGCCCCGAACTCCTCTCCTTCATGGATGCATATTCCGGCTACAACCAGATAAAGGACGACTTTCATGACAGATAAAGGAATCTACTGCTACAAAGTAATGTCGTTCGGTTTGGAGAATGCAGGTTCAACCTATCAGAGGCTAGTTAACAAAATGTTCAAAAACCAACTGGGGGACACCATGGAAGTCTACATCGATGAAATGTTGGTGAAGTCCAAGAAAGTAGCTGATCATGTGAACCATTTGGAAGAAACTTTCAGCATCCTCCTCAAGTATAAAATGAAGCTGAACCCGTCCAAATGTTCATTTGGAGTAGCTGCAGGTAAGTTTATGGGCTACATAGTCACTCAACGAGGAATCGAAGCTAGCCCAGACCATGTACGCGCTGTAATTGATATTCAATCACCTAGAAACCTGAAAGAGGTGCAAAAATTAACAGGTAGAGTAGCTGCATTAAATAGGTTTATTTCGAGGTCATCAAATAAATGTCACCTATTTTACAACGTCCTAAAGAAAAATAAAGGTTTCACTTGGTCTGATGATCACGAAAAGGCCCCACATGACCTCAAACACTATTTAATGACGCCACCTTTGTTATCTAAACCTGCTGAGGGAGAGTCTTTACAGCTTTACCTCGCAGTCAACACCCAAACTGTTAGTGCTGTCTTAGCAAGGGAAGCTAAAAGTCAGCAGTAACCTGATTACTACGTTAGTAAAACTCTCCTCAGTGCTGAAACCAGGTACTCCTCACTCGAAAAACTGGCATTAGCACTGATTGTAGCTAGCAGGAAACTTCGCCACTATTTTGAAACTCACCCAATAGTGGTGAAAACTAACTACCTTGTGAAGGCTGTTTTGCGCAGACCGGAGTTAACAGGTCGAATGAGCAAATGGGCAATCGAGCTCAGCGGATTTGGTATCACATACGAACCAAGAACAGCTATCAAATCACAAGCGCTAGCCGACTTTTTGGCTGACTTCAGCCCTGACCTTGAACAACAAGCAGCTTTAGAATCCGAACAGATCAACCAAGTCCATAACCCAAGTACTTGGATACTTAATGTTGATGGTTCATCTAACTTTCGAGGTGCAGGTCTCGGTGTAGTGCTGGAGTCGCCACAGGAGGACATGATGGTACAAGCTATTTATTGTGATTTCAAAGCTACTAACAATGAGGCAGAATATGAAGCTCTGATCGCAGGTATGAATCTCGTAAAGGGCCTAGGTATTACTAACCTGCAGGTATTATGTGACTCCCTCTTTGTAGCAAGTCAAATGAACGGTGAATTCACGGCTAAAGACTCCAAGATGGTTCTATACCTAGACTTCGCCAAATCCTTAGCAACCAAATTCTCAACCTTCACCATAAAGGAAATACCTAGGGACAAAAACACACAAGCAGACGCTCTAGCCAATCTAGGATCAACCTTAAGAAAATCCAAATTCTCCTCCATCCCCTTGATCCACTTGTTAGCTCATGTCGTTGACACAGCCAACCTCCCACCTAAACCTAGCATTCCAGAACCTGTAAAACCAGATCCAGACAATCCAGAAATACCTACCCCCACTCCGAGCCAACCTGTTAAGATCGAACCTGAAGAACCCAACTTCGTTGCACCTGTGACCAACCCAACCAGCTGGATGCAACCCATATTTGATTACCTGGAACACGGCACATTGCCAGAAAATAAAGCAGAAGCAAGAGCACTCAGGTTTAAAGCCAGCAGATACACGATCATCCAAGGTGCCCTATTCAAAAATTCCACTAGGGGTATCTTGCAACGCTGCATAAAGGAAGATGGCTACGAGCAGATCCTCAAAGATTTCCACGATGGAGAGTGTGGAGCCCATTCAGCTGGAAGAACCTTAGCCAACAGGATACTCACCTATGGGTACTACTGGCCAACTCTACGAGTGGACGCTCACAGGTATGTACGAAAATGTGATAGCTGTCAAAAACACTCAGGTTTTACTCATAAGCCCTCCATGCCTCTGCATCCCACTTTGACACCTTGGCCTTTCATGATATGGGGCATGGACATAGTAGGCAAATTACCTGCTGCCCCAGGTCAAAAGGTCTACATGTTAACTCTAACCGATTACTTTTCTAAGTGGATTGAAGCATATGCATTCTAGCAAGTCAAATACAAGGAAGTTATCAATTTTATCTGGACTAACGTAATTTGCAGGTTCGGAGTACCGTCTGAAATAGTATGTGACAACAAATCCCAATTCATAAGTGCCCCAACCAAGAATTTCTGCGATAAATGGAATATCACATTAGTCACTTCGACGCCTAGATATCCTCAAGAAAACGGTCAAGCCGAATCCAGTAATAAGGTTATCATCGGATCTTTAAAAAAGAAGCTGAAGGATAAGAAAGGCAAATGGGCAGAAGAGCTGCCAAGAATCCTCTAGGCCAACACAACCACACCAAGAACCGCCACAGGTCAAACACCTTTCTCATTGGTCTATGGATGTGAAGATTGTACTACCTACAGAAGTCACCACCCCAACAGCTAGATACGGCTTGATGACACCAGAGCGCAACAGTGAAGAACTGTCACATGACCTAGATACCATAGAGGAACGAAGAGACCTAGCGCACTGTAGGCATCGTTTGAAGTGCGTCTACGTTAAAGCATGTGTGAATATGCTTGGCACTCATAGGAAGTGGGAATTGACATATACGATTAGGGACAAATAAAGTAGGGAGCCGCCAACAAGTTTTTTTGGAACTTGTAAACCGTTCACGGATCATAAAAGGCAACCACGATTAAAGGGAAAATGATAGGTGTAGACACCCATTTGTGTCTCCCCAAAACCAAACCCAGTGATGAGTAACTTTCGCGTCGAATCATAATCGAATGAAGCAAAAGTGTGGAAAGTCTAGTGTTGCGGAAAGTTTTATTTTCTTTTCTCTTCTCTCTGTTTTTGAAAACTTATTTTTAAGAAAACAGTCAATCCAGTTTGTTTGGTCCATGATATGGGTCCAATAGTAGTGTAGTTGTATAGGGCTTGAAAAGAGCTTTCCATCGTTATATTATAAGCCCAATTCCGATGAATATTGAGGAAGTTATGGCCAATTTACTAAAATGGGCCCGGTTCGAGCTTTATGTAAGGCCTAATGATCTAGGGGATGGCCTAATATGATTTATCATTTCTAATGCAATTAGGAATGGTTTTAGTCCTCTAGATTCTTCTAGAAGATTCTTTTCATTCCTAATTCAATTAGCATTGATAAATTGACTTTTGTTGACTTTTCAGAGTTTTAATCAAAATCAAATAGCATTTTCGAGGAAATTATATGATTTTATCCTCCAGTACGACAAACTTATCGGATTTTCGAAAACGCGTTAAAATTAGGCTTGGCGCCTAACCCCAGGCCTTGGCGCCTAACTCTAGCCATTGGCGCCTGGCGCTAGTGTTGGTGCCTGGCGCCAGCTAGCCAGGGTTGGCGCCAGCTCTGTTTTTTGTGCGTCAGACTCTGTTTTGTTTAATTTATCTTTTTGGCTGATTTTCTCTATAAATATCGTATTAAAAACTCCGTTTTCATTCACCTACAATCAGTTTTCATTCGCAATCATACATTCATTCATCATTAATTCTCATCTAAACTCATCTACAATCAGTTTTAATTAGTATTCATCAATTCTTTCTTTCTTACTCTAAACTTTGCCTTTCATACAAAATTCCGCATTCACAAGGTCTAGAAACACCTAGCCATATTCGAAGTTGCCTTCGCCCTAGACGTGAAAGGTTTAATTTCTGAGGGTTTGGTCCCAAATCTCTCTTTCAATTATTTAATTTAATTTGTTTTGATTATTATTTTCCTTGAAGTTACTAACGTGTGTATTTTGTTATTAGAAAGAGGTACGAGGCATCAAAGTAAGTACTTTAATTGATTTATTGATGTTATGATGTAGAAATCATGTTTATATTGTTATTATGATATTCCTAGTATCATGTCTAGGGTAATTTTAATATTAAATATGATTGTTATGATGCTTCCTACATTCTTTCTAATATTGATGATTTTTAGTATCATGTTAGGGTTAAAGCTTTGATTTTTATTGCTTAGTGACATGCTAGGGTTTGTTATTAATCTTGTAAGTATCATGCCTAAGCTAGGATCTTGCTATTTTTATTATGCTTTAATATTAACATGAATATGATTATGATTATGATTATTATTATTTTGATGATGATTATTTTATTTATGATTGTAATTTTATTCATGATATTTATTATGATTATTATTATGTTGCTTGATACATATTATATTTATTGTTATTGCTTGATCACACCTTTTATGCATGTTTAAAGGGAATTTGTACTTGTAATCACGCTTAATAAGATAATTAATAATCTTGTTAGGGTTATTGTGATTATATTTCAAGTGATCGCCAATAATAGATTTTTTTGTGCATTAATATTCAACCAACATAGATAAACAGGATTAGGTTAATCCTATTGATTGCATGTTAATCAGAAAGCGCACATGAATACGATCAGAATAAAGTAGAGGCCTATTATTAGGGCAGGTTCAATCTCTTTTAGGTTGGATTTGTACCATCATCCCCGAACCCTTATTTGGTTCTAGACCTTATGGAGTTGACGATCTCTTGGATCGTTAAGGGGTGTAATCTTCACCCTGTGAACGGTTTACAAGTTCCTAAAACTTTTTGGCGGCTCTTTTGCTCTATTTTCTTCCCTTTTGGACACCACCGTACTTTAGTGTATGACCACAGTGGGGTTCAAGCTAGTGGGATTAAAGCTTGAAATTTATTCCCTACAATAGGAAACAACGATTGACCCTTGAAGGTTACACCACATTCATAATCCATGAGATTACTAACTCCATATGGTTCGGAACCACAAAAGGAGGATCGGGGACGATGGTACAAAGTGAGTCATGGAGTCACATTCGCCCGTATTGGCCTCTACTCGATTCTTATAGTGAAAAGTGATTCATGCGATCTCAAAGGCATACAAACAAAGATTCAATTTGTTCCAAACTATTATTAAGCTAAACTGGTTTAATATTAATGTAGCACATAATTCTAAAATATTTGTTATCATTTGATTAAATAACAAGATTAAAAAGGAACCTAAATCGGTTGTCCAAATTATCTTATTAGGCGTGATTTTCAATTACATATTCCCCTTAAACATGCAATATAGTGATCAATAAACATAATAGAATAACATCAATATTGGAAGCAATTTAACAATAATTCCAACAATACAAAATCGTTAGAAAAATAATAGAAATAAAAGGAACATAATTCTTACTTTGATTCTGTTTGTTTACAACTACAAAATAATAAACGAGTTAGTAACTTCAAGGAAATAATAATTAAATAATAATTAAATTAAATTAAATAAAGTAGAGTTGATTTAGGGCCAAACCCTCAAACAGTTTTACCTTTCACGCCTTGGCTTAAGGACAGAACCACGAGTAAAGTATGGACTCCTGGGAGTGCTTGAAGCAGGAATTTTGAAAGAAGAAGAGTAGGCTAGTGTTTAGGCTAGAGCATAGAAGAGAGAAAAATAGAATTAATTGATGCCCCGTACATCAGAAATGAGGGGGTATTTATAGAAAAAATGTGCTGAGGGAACACACGGAACCCTAAAATGATAAAAACCCTAAAAAAATATACCGTGACACGATAAAGTGTACCGTGACACGGGAAAACCCACCTTCAGACGAGAAACATTCCCATGATACGGTGCACTTTTGTGTGACGCGAGAAATATTTAGTGAACGGGGGGAGAAAACGCGTTAAGGTTTTACACGGAAAGGACACGGAAACCCCCGTGTCACAGCAAATGTCCCGTGTCACGGGGAAACCCACCGTCAGACGGGACAGTTTCCCGTGACATGGTGAACTGTTGCCGTGACGCGGGAGTTTTCAGTCCATTTTTCCGTCTAAATTCATTTTTAACCCTAATTTCGTTCATCATTTTAAGTGTCGATTGATAATTTCGGGCCATTTTCTGATTTATTATTATTTGGGCTAAAATAAGAAAATAAAAATAAATAAAAAGTTTGGGCCAAAAATAATAAAATAATAAAATAAAAAAGGTTTGGGCTGAAATTAAAAATCTATGCTTTTGACTAAACATCAAGACTGGTCCATGGACTATTCAAAAATTAGATTTAATTAAATACGATTTTTTTAAGCAATCTCGGGATTAAATACTGAACCCGATCAATAATGGCGGTGAAAGGTTGTTCATCATCGGGTTTGGTTTTGGGGAGACATTTTTAGGTGTCTACAGAAGCCCCCACTTTGACTGAGTTTGTAGAAACGTCAGTTTCGAAAACGATAGTCAAAGTAGCCGATAGGGACGGAGAATGATTTAAGACGTTTTGCGATCCTAAATCACTCTGTATACGCCTATACCTGCAGAAAAATGTTAATTCCACAGATAAAAAAGTAAAAGATAGAATACGTATCTGACACTAGTGTATCGGTGACAAATGAGTTTGGCAGCTTCCTATGCTTGAAGGAATCCACCGGATGACGTTTGTTGAAACGCTTTCCATGCATGAGGAAAGCCGACTGAGGAATTTGGTAGCTTTCTAAGCCTGAAAAAATCTACCGGATGATACTTTCCATGCCTAAGGAAAGTCGACGTATGAGTTTGGTGTCATTCTATGCTTGAAGAAATCCACCGATAACGCTTTCCATTCTTGAGGAAAGCCGACTTGGCGGTTTTCTATACTTGAAGAAAAATCCACCGATAACGCTTTCCATGCTTGAGGAAAGCCGACTTGGCGGTTTTCTACACTTGAAGAAAAATCCACCGATAACGCTTTCCATGCTTGAGGAAAGCCGACAACTACTGTAATCGCTGAAATTTGCAAGTGTATGATGGTTCGATTATCCCCGAACGTGGGCCGCAAATGATTCACACCTTCAAGTCAACTATTCGACCATATTAGGTGTTTAAAACATCGACAAAATTGACTTTGTCGCTTCCTAGGGGCAAAAAAGTAATTTTAATACCCTTCAACTGTCAGTTAGAATTTTCCGCGTAATTTTACTGAAAAATCAACTGTCCAACTTGCGCGGAAAATCGTGCAATTTTGGTCAAAATGCCAGGAATATTCGCTGCCAGCTTCAAAA